ATAGGTTGAGGTCTCTTCCATGATAAAGTGAAATCTACAGTGAATTTCCATCTCACATCTGACTGGCCCCAGCTCCTGTCACCTCTCCCTGCTTTGCATCTCCTTCCATCCCTGACTCCATTCTTCCCTTCTCCACTCGGCTTTATGCCCTCTACAAATGTTCTTGTCCTCTGGCTTCTGGGCAGGTTTGGCCAGTTGGAGAAACTGCCAGATGAAGTTGGAGGAAAGTGAGAATGGGATCCTCTGTGTCACTCCTATGGGAGTCACCTCATCTGGCTGTGTCCCTTGACCAAAGTCCCTGTCCACACAACTCACTCCTGAGCTCTGCACCTCCTCTTTGTTACAACAAGAATACCCAGAAATGGAAAGGGCCCTCTATGGGTGCTTGCCCTGGGTGGTACACTAACCCCTGCTGTTTCCCCAAACCCTGTCCAACCCACTGTATAAAGGTCCCTGTGTAAACCTGTCTCAAATTACCGTGTTTGAATGTGTCAATTGTTTCCCCTAGACCCCCAACCAGGATCCCAATCTCTCCCTCCCCATTTGTTTAACTTCACTCAGAGATTCCAAGCCCTCCTCCATTCCAGCTTTCCTCCCCAACAATTTTGGGATCTGCATGGCTCAGGCCTCTCACCTGATATCTCAGCAGTTTTTGGCCAGGGCTGGGTTTGAACCCCCCATCTCCAGCATATGGGGAAGGTGCCCTACTCCCCACAGGTGCTGCCCCTATCTCAGCAGTTTTGTTTTGTTCTTTTTTTTTTTTTTTTGAGTCAGAGTCTTACTTTGTCACCCTAGGTAGAGTAGCATGGCGTCATAGCTCACAGCAACCTCAAACTCTTGGGCTTAACAGATTCTCTTGCCTCAGCCTCCCGAGTAGCTGGAACTACAGGCACCCACCACAACGCCCAGCTATTTTTAGAGGCGGGGTCTCACTCTGGCTCAGGCTGGACTGGAACCTGTGAATTTAGGCAATCTACCTGCTTTGACCTCCCAGTGTGCTAGGATTACAGGCCTGAGCCACCACGCCCAGACTGTTTTCTTTTTGACTAGGTCTCATTCTGTTACCTAGGCTAGAGGTGCATTGTTGTGATTATAATCACTGAAACCCCATTAGAAAACAACTGGCTTGGCACCTGTGGCTTAAGTGGCTAAGGCACCAGCCACATACACCTAAGGTGGTGGGCTCGAATCCAGCCCGGGCCCGCCAGACAACAATGATGGCTGCAACCAAAAAATAGCGGGGCGTTGTGGTGGGCGCCTGTGGTCCCAGCTACTTGGGAAGCTGACGCAGGAGACTCACTTAAGCCCAGGAGTTGGTGGTTGCTGTGAGCTGTGATGCCGTGGCACTCTATCCAGGGGGACAGCTTGAGGCTCTGTCTCAAAAAAAAAAAAAAAAAAGAAAGAAAACTACAACTAAAAATACATAATCACCGAAACCCCATATTCTTTGGCTGTGGTAATCCTCCTGCCTCAGCCTTCCAGGTGCATGCTACCATGCTTGACTAATTTTTCTATTTTCTGTAGAGACAGGGTCTTATTCTTGCTCAGGCTGCTTTGGAACTCCTGTCCTCAAGCAATCCTCCTGCCTCAGCCTCTGAAAGTGCAAGGATTACAAGCATGAGCCATTGGCCTGGCCTCTTTGAAGCCACAAACTGTGTCCCTACTCCTTGACATTCCCCATTCTTCCATTGCTGGGGCACCACACTTGCCTGGTCTGTATCTTACATCTGTGGCCTCTCTTTTTTGCCTGTATCCTAGATGTTGGGGGCACCCCAGTGCTCAGTCTCCACTCTGTTCTGGGGAGACTTCACCCTCTCTTCCAGCTTCAGCACCTCCCTCTGACATCACACGCTGATGCTGGCTAGGCCATCTTTGTCTTTAGCTCCTAAGATTCTTCTAGATTCCTGCCCCTCCCTCAGATTGAACACGCCCCAAACCTGCCTCTGCACCTTCCAAGCAAAATCTGCTCCTTCTCCAGTGCCTGGACCACGCCCATCTTCCTTCTAGCCCTCCCCAATCTCTTCTCAAAAGACCCGAAAGAATATTCCAGACACGGTTCTGTTCGAGATCCTTCCCTGCAGGCATGCGAAGCCCTTACCATCCCGCGTTTTCCTATCCCAAACTTCCCTCCCAGTTTCACGGAAACGCTAAATCATCCGTGCGTGGGAGGCTTCCGTGGGTCAGAGCAAATTTTGCAAGGTTCAGTGCCAAGATCACCTCCTTTAGGTAGTCTTCCCTTCTTCCCCGCAGGTTAAGTGCCCCTCCCCGGGTCTTCATTCTAACGGGGCCTGATCACACACTGCCGGTCACGACCGTGACCGACGCGGTCTCCCTCGCCCCTCCCCTGGTGTGCAGCCAGCCGCGTAGACCTGGTGGTAGGGACAGATGAATGAATGAATGAAGGGAAGGGGAAGGGGAAAGGAAGTGATCTGGAGGCCGGGGCTCCGGGCAGGAAGACTGAAAGGTTGACCATGGGAGGACCCCCCCAGCCGGAGTCTGCGAGGTCCCGGCTCCCGCCCAAGCGATACGCGGCCAAGCACCTCAGCCAGAAGAAAGGCGCTTCCAGATTAGCTCATGCTGGAGGAGGCAGGCCTAGGCCGAATTACGAGTTTTTATTGGTTTACTCGTGAGGTTGCTGCCAATCAACGTGATTACTTCCTCCAGGAGGGCCCGCCTCCCTCCTGTCCCCAGCCCCAGAGGCGGAAGACGTTGCCTTCTTGTTACCTTAGCAACCGTCAACGGACCCCCAGTCGCCTGGGTAACGGTCCCCGGCCTCCCAGTCAGCCTTTGCCTGGGCCCCTCCGGTAACCCAGACAACCGCTACCCGTTCCGGTCAACCATCAACCCTTCCCTTGTCACCTTGGCAACCCTCGCCAGACCCACCACCCCCTGGACGCCTTCCTTGTCTTGTCTGCAGACCTCCTAGCTCCAAAATTTCACTCCAGGGTCTGGGGTCCCTAGGCCCCAGTCCTCAAGGACCCTCTCCTCCCCGTCCGTCTCCTCGCTCCCCAGTGGGGTCGGGGGCGTTGCTCCCACCCTAGTAGAGGGGTCCAGGGGAGGTCTGGCACTGGGGGAGGGGTTCCTTGCTCCGTCTGCGGCGGAGGAACCAACCGCCTTGAGTTGAGGCCGCGCACAGCCCCCCACCGGCCTCCGTGCTCTGTGGGACTGTCCAGCCGCCCCAGGGAGCTCTTCAAAATGCAAACCATGTCCCTCCCCTGCTGAAAACTCTTCCTTGGCGTCCTTCGAATCGAATCCAAACTCCTCACAGCCCCTGGAGGTCTAGCTGTGGCCTCTTCTCCTGGGGGCCTTTTGCTCATTCTGCCTTCCCAGTCGCTGCTGCCTTCCTCGTTACTCTATAGCTCAAGCATATTTCTGCCTTAGACTTCTCACTTTCCCCAAAAGTGTGTCCCCCCAAAAGCTAGGGTCCCACCTGTGGTAAGGCTTGCATGAATTCTGCTACAAGTATACATAGTTCTCCCCACCTCTGTAATGTCTAGAAGGGAGGGGGGCTGGGTTTTGCTGGTTCATACTCTATTCCTAAAGACCTAGAACAGTGCTTGGCACATATGTTGAGCAAAGGGATGCTATGTTGGCGACAAAAGAGAACCAACGGGGGGGGCGGTGACCAGCAGTTAGGCCAATTCTAGAGATAGGAGGTTCCCTAGGTCCTCATGCTTCAGATAATGAATGACACTGACCCTGGAGGCCAGGCAAAAGCCAGGGAAGTAGAAGGTGATGCTGTGACCACCCTGAGGATAAGTGCTCCACCCTCTACTTGTAAGCTCCTCATTTGGAAGCTGGAGCCAGAGGCCTCCAGAATGAGTAGAAATGGTGGCTAATTTGGAACAGAAGACTCCAACTCCAGGAGCTGGAAGGGCAGAGTTGAGATCCCCGATAGCCATCCTGAGAGCTGGTCTCTCCCTACACAGAGTCCAGAATCCCACCGGAGTTGAGAGCTGTTTTCCCAGGGATCAGAGATGCTGGCCAGCCAAAGCTGGGCTGAGAGAATTTGACCCAACAAAGCCTAGGATCACGATGGAGAGGAGGATTGTGGGAGCTGCCTTGGGTCTGACTGGAAAGGAGTCTGCACATCCATTTGCCTACCCACCAAGGTTCCCAAAGTTCCTCAGTGAGGTTGTCAAAAGCCAGGCAGGGCCAGGCATGAGGGCTCATGCCTGTAATCCTAGCACCTGAGGCAGGTGGATTGACTGAGCTCAGGAGTTCGAGACCAGCCTGAGCAAGAGAATCACTTGAGCCTATGAGTTTGAAGTCATTGTGAGCTATGACGCTACAGAATACTACAGAGGGTGAGAAGTGAGACTCTATCAAAAAAAAAAAAAAA